TGAGGTTGAAGCTGCTCGGAGCGTGGGGTTGTATGAGGGAACTTCAAAAGTTCATGGAGGGGCCAGCGCCGTGGCTCTGTTAAGGTCGAGATATGTCCACCGCCCGAGAAACGACTCCAAGAGACTCTCCCATGCAAATTGCAAAGGGTTTATTATTTTTCCAGCATGCTGGGGCTCTCTGATCATGCCAGAACAGAGCAGCCCCGAGGAACTAAAGTATAGGGTTTATAAAGGCAAAAACCGCAAAATCGGGAGGGGGGATACACAGTTGCTAAAATCAAAAGAGAGTACATAGTTACTGGGGTCAATATAACCCAAGTCCTAAGTGAAATTAATATCCATTATAATCTTGACAATACCAGTTACAATCTTACAATTATCAATTATGATCTTGACATTAATCCAAATTATAGGTAAGACATAGACAAATCACATCTTTATCATTAACCCAGGTGCAACCTTTCTACTTTCAAGCTTGAGCAATCATGCTAGGGGGTTTTTGTGCTCTGCCAAGGGTGATGTAGTGCACTGCTATTGTCTGACTATTTGAGATCATAGTTGCAGACCAGAGTCTCACGGTGGGGGGGTGCTTTCCCAGAATGGAGTCTCAAGTGTTCCAAAATGGAGTCCCTACTGTCAAGGTGCTACTTCAGCTCACTAGGCTAATCCTCCGCCTGCAGCGCCAGCATCCCATATGGGCGCCGGGTTCTAGTCCCGGCTGCTCCTCTTGTAGTCCAGCTCTCTGCTGTGGCCTGGGAAGGCAGTGGAGGATGGCCCAAGTGCTTGGGCCCTGCACCCGCATGGGAGACCAGGAGGAAGCACCTGGCTCCTGGCTTCAGATCAGCACAGCGCCAGCTGTAGCGGCCATTTTGGGGGGTAAACCAACAGAAGGAAGACCTTTTTCTCTGTCTCTCTCTCTCACTGTCTGTCAAATAAAAAAAAAAAGTTCATGGAGAAACAGAATGAAGAGCTAGTATATTTTGATGCAAAAACTGTTTGACATCGACATATATTTTTCATAATGCACATTGAAGATCCCTCATGTTAGTTTCCTAGGGTCGCTAAAACAAATTGCCACAGGTAGTTTATTCCAAATTTATCCGCTCACATTTCCGGGAGCCAGGAGTGTGAAATGCAGGTTTCAGTGGATCCTTGTTGCTTCCAGAGGCTCTGGGGGAGAATCGCCCCTTGCCTCTGCCACCTTCTGATGGCTCTGGCCAGCCCCTGACTTCCCAGGCCTGTAGCAGCATCGCTCCAACTCCTGCCTGCATGATCCCATGGCCTCCTCCTCTGTCTGAGCATTGACTTAGGGCCCACCCAGCTTATCCAGGGTGATCTTCAGAGACCCTTTTCTTTCTTTCTTTTTTTTTTTTTTTTCTTGACAGGCAGAGTTAGACAGTGAGAGAGAGAGAGACAGACAGAAAGGTCTTCCTTCCATTGGTGCACCCCCCAAATGGCCGCTACAGTCAGCGCGCAGGGAGCCAGGTGCTTCTCCTGGTCTCCCATGTGGATGCAGGGCCCAAGCACTTGGGCCATCCTCCACTGCACTCCCGGGCCACAGCAGAAAGCTGGACTGGAAGAGGAGCAACCGGGACAGAATTGGGTGCCCCGACCAGGACTAGAACCCGAGGTGCTGGCACCACAGGCAGAGGATTAGCCTAGTGAGCTGCGGCGCCAGCTGAACCCTTTTTTCAAAATAAGGCCACATTCGCAGGTTCCGGGATTTTGGATGTAGTTGTGGGACCATTCAATCCCTTACAGAAGTCGAAGAGGAGCTCTCTGTTGAAGCCCTTGCATTCTATACCCACTTGGGAGTTCCAACAAGACCAAGAGCTAGAGGTACAGTGTAGGGTAACCCAGGCGAGCACTTACGAATTTAGGATAAGGATGCCGCTCTGCTTCTGAAGACACTTTCAAGAGTGGTTGTGATTTTCCTGTTTAAAGTAGATCTGATCCTTTTGCTTCTAATTCGGGCTCTCTAATGATTTCCATTTGTCCTTAAAATGGGCTCACCTCCCCAGTGAGGCTTACAAAACCCTCTGTGGTTAGCATCATTTCTCACTCCCCCCCCCCCCAGTCTTGCACAATCCAGGGAGGCTGACTGTGGTTCCCCCTGCAGAAGCTGCCTGCTCACTGCTTCTGGGTCTTCAGCCTTGAGGGTTCCCTCTCCCTAAAGCCCGCTCACTCCTTCTTTTAACCCAACTGGAGACTGGAGATGAGCTCCACAAAGCCAGCGTGGTTGGTCTCCATTTACTTGGCACCCACCCTGGCCCAGCTCTCAAGAAACTTCAGGAACATTCAGCACGGGATCTGTCCCTGCCTCCATCCCCGAAACTCAGAAGGTGACAGTGGCCAGCAGTGGCAACCCAGTTCTTCCAGCAGATTTTAGCTGTCCATTCCCCCTACTATCACTGAAGAAGGCAGACTTGGTCTCCGTCCTTACCACGTGGTGCCTTCACCTGAATTGCAAGGCACTAAGAATTCTGATGGGCTGACTTGGAGGGGAACGGAATTCACCCAGATGTGGAGGGTACATGTCAGCTTGCACTGTGACACTGAGCTACCTGAAGCAAGCTACTTGTGAGAGAGAGTTTTATTAAGCTCCCAGTTTTGGAGGCTGAAAAGCCAAATGGCTTGATGTAGATTCTGGTGAGGGCTGCATGACAGATGACTGAGAACGTGCAGGAAAAGGTTCACAGGGTGAACCTGGAAGCAGAGAGAAGAGAGGCTGGGCCCAAAGTCAGGCTTTTATTGCAACCCCCTTGAGAGAACTCCCTTCTAAGAGCACACCCCCAGTGACCCACGGCCTTCCACTAGGCCCTCCTCCTCAATGTCCCACCACATCTCAACAGTGTGACCCTGGCACCACACTAACAGCACAAGGGCCTTTGGGGACCATTCAGCACCAGATCACAGCAGCAGATCAGGAACTATTTCTAGGTTGGATTTAACCAGGAAGGGGGTGGGGGGTGATGAGCAGCACCTGTAGGGGGGAAGGATACCATGTGTGAAGGCTAAGGATTCAGAAACGGGAGCACTTGCAGGTGTAACTCCAGCCACAGATGGAGGAGCCCACAGAAGCCAGGTTCAGACAATGGAATACCTTTTAAAGCAAGGCAGGGACATCCAGATAAAAACAAACAAGAAAAAACAAAACCAGATTGTTATCCATTAAAACAAGATAATGTGCAAAGGAACAGGGAAATGCTTCAGGTTGGGTAGCCCATAAGGTCTTTGGGAGGAGATTTATTTATTTACTTATATATATTAAATATGTATTTATCTGAAAGGCAGAGTTACAGAGAGATCTCCCATCTGCTTGTTCACTCCCCAAATGGCCAGAGCTGGGCCAGGCAGAAGCCAAGAGCCCGGAACTCTGCCCAACTCGCCCACATGGTAGTAGGGACGCAAGCCCTTGAGCCATCCTGTTGCTTTCCCACGTGCATTAGCGGGGAGTTGGATTGGAAGTAGGGCAGCTGGCACTTGAACTGACATCACAGGCAGTGGTTTAACCTGCTGCAACACACTGCTGGCCTACAAGAGATTTAGTCTGAAACCAGGATCCCTTCCCAGGGATGTGACCAGGCCAGGGAAGGGTATAGGCTAAGCCTGTTCTTCCAGAGGCCACATCATGGATTGAGGTCAGCATGATGGAAATGTGGGCCTGTGTGGTTTCTGCAAACTCTCCTGCCCTGGGGCGGATTGCACCAGGCTGGGCTTTGCAGGGCTGCCGTCTCAATCTCTCTCTCTCTCTCTCTCTCTCTCTCACACACACACACACACACACTACACCTGACCTTCATGAGATGGGCCTGCTGAGACCATCCTGAAGCCACTTGGAAATTCAAGTTTCCATCCTTCCCACAGAACCCTTGGAGTCCCAGGGATCTTGGCAATATTAGGACAGGAGCAGGAGCAGGCGCAGGCAAGGGCGGAGAAGACACAGGGACTGAATCAGGCCCAAAGGAGAACCGGTCCAGCCCTGACTCTGTCGTTTAGCATTTGTATGACTTTTGAGAAGACACCGAGTCCCTCGGAGACTTAGTTCAGTGGCTTTCATTCAACTTTAGCCGGTTTAGTTTCCTGGGAGCGCGTTGTGGCCTCCCCCAAGCTGAGTGCAAAAGTGAGCACGTTGAAGCTTTCATGCAACCGAGGGAGCACAGATGGCCGCTGGGCACAGCGAGCATCAGAAACTGGAATATTAGACACCCGTGTTAGTGACAGAGCTGTGGGCACTGCCCGTGGGGGATTTTTATTGGCTAACTCTGGCCCAACCCTGTTAGTTGCAAGATGACAGCCATCCAAGTTCGCCTGGGACACAGGGGTTTCTCAGGGCAGGGGACTTTTTCAGTTCCCTGCTTAGTGGACATTTACAATGCCCTTACTAACTGAAGTAGGATTTGGTTCCGACTTTGCAGAGTGACCCTTCTGCCACTGGATGTGGCGCCCTTGGGAATTCTTCAGAGGTGGCCAGGTCTGGCCCTCCGTGGTTTGCCCATTGGCAGCCCCTGGGGCACTCTGACCTGCCAAGAGGTCTAGGTCAGACCCTGGGCCAGTCTGACCAAGGCCAAAGGTCAAGGCCAGAGGTCAGGGCCAGAGGCAGATTTCAGGACCTCTTCAACACCAAAAGTGAGCCTCTTCCTTGGATCCCTGTAGGTATGAAAATGATGACATTAGGTGTTATTTTGCTGACTTGCACTCGATCTGTCCCCCCAGGGTCACTGGCCTGCTGGCCAGCAGGACCAGATGCTCCCTTTGCAGGAATATCTCACTGTCGCTGCTTTCACGTGAGCACTGAGAATCCTAAGGAACACAGCATTGTCATCTGCTGACGGACGAATCTCTGCATCCCTTCTGCTCGCTTGTATATTTTTCCCTCACGTGGATCTGCTGAACTTGATGTCCAGCCCTGGCTTGACTCATCACCTTGGAGATAACAGCTGACTTTGTTGTCCAGAAAGAGGGAGGGTGAGGTTTAGGGAGGGAGAAGGAAAGGGGGAAGACCAGGACATGGAAGGAGACACTGTTCCATATTCGTAACTCTTTTTGCAATCAGCCCCTTTCCCAATCTTGCTGGAATGTGGCCATCTACACTCTGTGTACTTCTGGGAACGTCCAAGTTGCCCAACAAAGGCATAGGGGTCACTAGACCTGAATTTGACTCACGGGTCTCTGACTCACTTGGGCTTGTAATGTGACCCAGCGAGGTATCACCTGAAGTGGGGCTGATAACCATCTGGCCTCCAGGAGCGCTGGGATTGGATGAGACAATGACTGTCAGAGCTTAGCATGCAATCCATGTCATACACTGTGTTCGTCTCACAGATGTCGCTTCAGCAAGCATGCTGGCTTCCTGCTAGGTTTGGGGATGTTGCTGATCTAGCCTGGATCACCTATTATTAACAGGAAGGCGAATTACCCTATTTACATGTAAGTCTTCTCGCTTATAAAATGGGGATGAAAAACTCGCTCTATAAGATTATTGAGAAGGTTGAGTTACATAAAATAATTTTTCCTAGGAGCTGGCATTGTAGTACAGTGGGTTAAGCTACTGCTTGTGATGCTGGCGTCCCATATCAGGGTGTCAGACTGAAGTCCAGCTACTCTGCTTCTAATCCAGCTCCCTGCTAATGTGCATGGGAAGGCAGAAGATGGCCCAAATGCTTGCGCCCCGTCACACACCTGGGAAACAAGGACTGAGTTTCTGGCTCCTGGCTTCAGCCTGACCCAGCCTTGGCTATTGCAGGCATTTAGGGAGTAAACTGAGAGATAGAAGATATCTCTCTGTATATTTATTTGTGTGTGTGTGTGATTCTGCCTTTCAAATAAACACATGGTTTTTTAAAATTTTAAAAAGATTTATTTATTATTTATTTGAAGGGCAGAGTTACAGAGAGAGGAGGAGAGACGAGAGAGAGAGAGAGAGAGAGAGAGAGAGAGAGAGAGAGAGAGATCTTCTATCCACTAGTTCACTCCCCAAATGGCCACAATGGCTGGGGCTGGGCCAGACCAAAGCCAGAAGCCAGGAGCTTCCTCTGGATGTCCATGAGGGTGTAGGGGCTCAAGGACTTGGACCATCCTCCACTGCTTTCCCAGGTATATTAGCAGGGAGCTGGATCAGAAGTGGAGCAGCCAGGACCCGAATATGTCCATATGGGCTGCTGGTACTGCAGTCTTACCTACTATGCCACAGTGCTGGCCCCAGTAAATACATCTTGAAAAAATAACTTATCTAGGGGCTGGCGCGATGGTGCAGAGGGTTAACGCCCTGGCCTGAAGCACTGGCATCCCATATGGGCACCAGTTCTAGTCCCAGCTGCTCCTTTTCTGATCCAGCTCTCTGCTATGGCCTGGGATAGCAGTAGAAGATGGCCCAAGTCCTTGGGCCCCTGCACCCTTGTGGGAGACCGGGAAGAAGCTCCTGGCTCCTGGCTTCAGATCGGAGCCGTTGTGGTCATTTGGGGAGCGAACCAGCAGATGGAAGACCTCTCTCTCTCTCTCTCTGAGTCTACCTCTCTCTGTAACTCTTTCAAGTAAATAAAATAAATCTTTAAAAAAATATATAACTTATCTAACATGCTTGCTACAGGTCCATGATCCCTTGCCCAAAACCCATGGGATTTTGCAAGACTTTTTGGGTTCCAGAAAGGAAATAACATTTATAAGCTGCCTATTTTGTAATTCCTGAGTCCGGTGTGGGTCAGCACCCTATAGTCAAAGGCATTACTCGTACTATTCTACACTGAAACATGAATATCACAGTACATGGGGTTAAAGACTGGATCATCTCGTGTCCATAGCCTGCGCGACAGGCAGGACAAGCATTGTATTTCCTACTTCACAGCTAGCAGGCCGGTGTTCAGGAGAGTGGGTTCTGGTGATGTGGCCCAGGGACTCCTCCTGGGATACCACAGAGGGTGACGGACAACACCCTGTTCTAACCATCCCCTTGCTTGGTGAACCTTATTCCCCACCCCACCCCACCCCATCCCCCGCCAAAAAAAAAGTTGCCACTACATAGTCAAGTTCTCCTGACTCGTATTTCTACCTTCTTTTAAGATTCTGTTTTTCCTAATTTGGTCTCTACTCTGGACAACACACTTGCTCTTTAAATAATTGCAATCTTCCAAAATCTTTATATAACCCTGTTATCTTAGTTATTCCCTTCTTGCTGGCATTTGCATGTTTGCAGTTTTGCTCCGTTCTACAATAATGCTTCGGTCATTCACTTTCAACTTTGCCTCGGGGATGAGTAAGCACATGGATTTGAAATCACCTGTCCCTTGGGCCCCCGGCTGGCTGGCAGCCTTTGGGGATCATTTTTCCAGGCACTCCAACTATACAGTTGTTCCCAATCAGCTCATCAATTAGCATTTATTGAGCGCTAAGCAGGGTACAGCATGCTCTGTGCTGCTTGGAGACAAAAGACGTATAAACTATGTCTCGTCTCTAACTCTCAAGGATCTGAGGTGTAGCCAGGAAGGCCTTTTGATTCCAGATCAAGCTGTGTTTGTGCCCAGGCAGTCAGGCCTGCTAAGCAGGGTTGTTAGGATGGGCACCAGGGGATGATGTACACGATGAAAGCAAGAACTTTAAATAGGTCCTGAGCCAGCCTCTTGCCAGTCAAGGGCATTAGTTCCATTTAACAAGAAGGTGCTAAAGATGGAATGGTGAATGGAGAAAACCAGCTCTGGGTTCTGTGGAACCTGCTCTGCCCCATCAAGTTTGACTATCAGGCTAGCACTCAGAGGGGGCCACTCAAAATCAACATACAACACCAGTTCCCTTGCTCTCCTTGCTGGAGGGTCGGTGAAAGGACTAAGCAAGGCCTAGGGGGCTGCCTCAATCCAGCTTTTCCTGTCTCTGTCCCCCTTGGCCCATCTGTGACATGAGCACCATGGTGACGTTCTCATGGGACTGAGGATTGTCCCAAGTATCAGCTGAGAACCTGACAAGTGCTTTATTTTATTTTTTTAAATCTTATTTACTTATTAGCTTTGGGTATTTTTTAAAGATTTACTTATTTATTAAAAGAGTTACACAGAGAGAAGAGAAGTGGGGGGGGGGTCTTCCATCCATTGGTTTACTCCCCAGTTGGCTGCAATAGCAGGAGCTGCACCAATCTGAAGCCAGGAGCCAGGAGCCAGGAGACAGAAGTCAGGAGCCAGGAGCTTCTTCCTGATCTCTCACGTGGGAGCAGGGGCCCAAGGACTTGGGCCATCCTCTACTGCTTTCCCAGGCCATAGCAGAGAGCTGGATCGGAAGTGGAGCAGCCGGGACTCCAACCGGCGCTTCAGGCCAGGGCGTTAACCCACTGTGCCACAGCACCGGCCCTGACAAGTGCTTTAGAAAGAACAAAGAGCTACCCAAATGATCTGGGAAAGGTTGGGAATTCATTCTCTGCCATATCCTAGCCCCAGCACGGTGTGGGCCTGGCACGTAGTAGGTGTTCAATAAACATTTGTTGAAGGTACCAGAGAGCTGGCTGCTATCAGTACAAAGGGTCTTTCAAGAATTCACAGAAGCTGTGTATAATTTTAAAAGCTGTGCATGGATTTCAAAAATTTTTGCATCAAAATAAACCCGTCTTTTAATTCCATTTTCCATGAATTTTTGAAGCACCCTCCATACGGGACAGAGAACCACATGCCATTAAGTTGATCGGACACACTCTTGTTCTACCCCACAAAGCCATCCTCCCCAGGGCAGTCCTCATCCTGACCCTGTCACCCTGAGTCCCCCAGAACGGTTCCTTCATTCAAGACATCAAAGATCCAAAGCCTGAGGTTCAGCCCAGGACAGGAGAGCAGAGATCTGTCCATCTCCGGTTTCAAGGGCTGCCCCTTCACTTCCCGCTCCTGGCTGCTGAGGCAGGCAATGTCACCAGCCAGCATAGCACTCGACGGCTGGAGCCAGCCTCGGCCGTGCCCTCATCCGCTCCCAGCCAGGACCTCAGGTGTCCTGTCGCCTCTCAGCCCCGCAGTCTGCTGATCTCGCGCCACTTGGCGCCAACAAGGAACTCCTCAGCCCACACTGGGGACTTATTTCAAAGTGGCCAGAGCCTGGCTCGCTGGCTGGTCTTTTCCAAAGAGGTTTCCTGCCAATGTTATTCTTATTGTGAGCTCTTCGTGGCCAGGACACCCTCCGAAGGTCTCTCCTGCAGGTGTGGCGCTGGGACGACACACTTTCCAGAGTCTCTGACTTCTTCCTTACGCGTTTGTGTGTCTCTTTATTCTCCGTCTCCTCCACCCCAATGTGAGCTCCAGGAGGCAGGGAGCGTGGCTCATGTGCATTGCTTTCTCAGCCTCGTGCGGGGAACCGTGCCTGATGCAAGACACGCACTTAATAACGCTCGTAAATGAATGAGTGGACAAGCAAATGAAACTTTTTGCATGTTATTATATGGGATAAACAAGTTATTATAAATAAATGCCTATTATAAATGGCTTTACAAGGAAATGGTCATCCCCATAGGCTCTTGGAATTAACATGTACATTGTCCTGCTTCCTCCATTTATTATTTGTTAATTCATCCATTCAGTTATTCTTTCAACTCTGCCTCTGATCTGTAGGAGAGAGGCTAATGGATACTCATATGACATGTGTGTGAGGACTACAAAATCGGGGTGCGTGGTTCTAGAAGCATCTGTAATGGGGGATTTGGCCTCGCTGGGGACATCGGGGAAGAGTGCCTGGAGGAAGTCACAACTGCACCAAGATGTAGAAGAAGAACACTGCAGGCAAAGGGGATGGCACAGACAGGCTTGATAGGGGAGAAGCCAAGGAGCACCGGGGAGTGAGCAGGGTGATGGTGCCACTGGGCAGGATGAGAATGGACAGGCAGCTGCAGTCAGAGCTGGGCAGGTCCCTCGGGGAGGCCAGAACAGCAGCAGCTGGGCAGCAACACCCAGTTGTGTCCAGTAGAGCTGCCCTGAGTCAGGAGAGGTCACCTCCTCCAAGACCCTGTTCTCTGTCTCTCAACCTGGATGAGCGCCTCCCCTCTGTATTCCCATGGGACTCAGAACTTCCCTTTGTTATATGACGGTACTTCAAAAAGTTGACGGAGAAACTGAATTAAAATATCAGTCTGGGGAGCTGTGGGGAACAGGTGTTGCGGCACAGCAGGTTAAACTGCCCACTGGGATGCCTGAATCCCATGTCGGAGTACCTGTTGAGTCCCAGCTGTTCCACTTATAATCTAACTTCCTGCTAATGTGCCTGGGGGGCAGTGGGTGATGACTCAAGTACTTGAGTTCCTGCCACCCACGAGGGAGATCAGGATGGAGTTTCTGGTTCCTGGCTTTGGCTTAGCCCAACCCTGGCTATTGCACCCATTTGGAGAGTGAACCAGCAGATGGAAGATCTCTCTCTTCCTCAATTTCTTCCTGTCACTCTGCCTATCAAATAAATAAATAAAATAAATATTTAAA